AACGCCAGTAGTAACTTTGGAGTAGTACACAAAGCCTTGTTACTTTCTCGACCTCATGAACTTCGTGAGAAAAGAACGTTATGTAATCGTGCGCCGGAAAACGGCGAATGTTTGCATTTGGAAACAAATTTGCTAGTTTGGAGTGAATGCTAATGGCTAACGGCGGTGGTTGTGCCCGCAGCGCGGTGCTGTACGTGAAGCTGCTGCTGTCGGCGGGGCTGCTGGAGATGGCTGCGGAGGGCGGCGCGTGGGCAGCGTGGGCGATGGGCGGCGCGGGCGGCGACGAGGACCCCGCGGGCTTCGCCTCGCCCGACACGGCCTTGCTGCTGGTGGCCGTGGGCACGTTCGTGGACGCGGCACGCGCCGTCGTCGTGTGGTGGCTGTGCTGCGGCCGCTGGTGCGGCTTCGACTTCGTCATGTGCTGGATCATCGACAGCCTGCGTAGCCGCCGGCGCGGGGGGACGCGCTCGGGCCCGGACGTCATCTCCAACGTGCGCTCGCCGCCGCCGCCCGCCAAGAACGACGCGCCCGTGGAGGCGGGGCAGGATGGGGTGACGACGCACTTGTAGGAGGAAGTCGTGGGCTTCCGCTGCCAGAGTCACGTGCGTGATCTTGGCTGTCCGGGTGACGCCGCGTCGAAGGCTGTGTTGCAGACGTGTCGACCATCTTGTCGTGGTCTTCCTCATACCAGCCCTGAGGAAGTCCACGACAAGATGGTCGAAGCGTCGGCAACACAGCCTTCGACGCGGCGTCACCCGGACAGCCAAGATCACGCGCACTTGTAGGACGTATGAGAGGCATTCCGAGAGTTCCCGGAATGGTGGTTCAGCTTGTTCATTTCTATTCTTAAAGTAGGACCCTTCAGCATCCAGACACCAGGCGCTATCGTTCCTGCCATTGTTGGAAGCAGCGGTAGGTTTTTTCGGCGCTTCTCAGAGCTGATCCGTCGCATTCGATTTCATGTTCTTCACGGGTTCAAAACGTCTTCCCTTGAGGCTCATTTTCAGAGTAGGGAACAGTAAGACCTGTCCTATTCGTGTTTCTGCCGTATTCCTCTCTTTCCTTAACCAATGAACTCTCTGGCTTTGAGATCCAGAGAGTACAGTGGTTGAGGAAAGACAGGAATGTTTTCGGAGAGAACTTTCTTGACAACAAGCGACATGTGGCTTGGCGCTCTATCGTCATGCAGACCCCACTTTCCTTGTTACTTGGCCAGTCGCCCCTTCGAACTGCTTCAGGCTAACTCTTTAAACCTTGCACATAGGAATTGTCAGTTACAGGCTGCCTGGGTGACGGTGTATCATAGCATCTCAAGCTGATTTTCCCAGTTTACACTTGAACTTGATGTTCACACGCCGACGTCGACATACCACCATACACCACCACGTGAAACGGAGCAGTGACACCACTGCGCTCTACAACATGTTAGACCAATTTTGCTCGCGTGCGAACATTTCCACCCATACTACAAGATTTTTTGGTAGTTTTTATCGCTAGTTTAACGACGGCTCGAATTTGCTTTTTCACACTTGAGTTAGACTGCCCTTCACGAATTTTTTTTGAAACGCCAACTGTGTTTTTGCCAGTGCGACTCGCCGCTTGTATAGAGAGATGACTATAAGAAAGGACCACCTTGACAGTTACTGTTTGGCCACTGGAGGCAATGTAACTGCAAGTTACGTCCACATTTTGTCTGTGCGTTCATTTACAGTTAGGTCAGTTATAAATGGTTTCATCACTACCTCTTGCATTGTTGTCGCCCTGCATGACGTTCATTTGTTTACCGATCTGTCAAAGTGGACCCTTGTTAGAGGTACTCTTCACACGAGAGTTACTCATGGAACATAGCCGAAAATATTTTCTTAACAGAGTTTCTTAATAAATATTTGTTTCAATTTAATGTAGAGTAATTTTCAGAGTGAGTTTGTTTACTGATAGAGTAAGACGATAAAGAGAAAGAAAAGTTACATTACCATATTTGATACTGGCTTGAACTTGGTGGACTGCTGGATCATCAATGCCTTGTCCAAATGACGTCATGGCAGACACAAGACCCAACGGCATCTCCTAATTTCTCCTGCCGTCCTCTACGAACGGCGTTCCCGCTCTAGCACGGAAAGATGCGGTGACAACGTACTTGTATTATATTTTACACGATTTGATACAATTTAGAATGAAGATTTAAGATGATTGATGTGTGATTAACTACACTTTTTTGACCTTCTTATGAAGTTTACCTCAAGAAATTAATGTTGCCAAGATTGTGTAAATGTGTTTACCCACCGGTGTCATTGTCTGGAAATGAAAGCGTATGCTAAAAAACCAAAACCTATTTTTAATACAGCATTATTATATTCGAGACGATAACCATGAACTGGGTCAAGTTATTTTGTTTTGCTATTTACACTAAATAAATGGCACAAAACCTACTCTTTAGAGTGTTTCTCTTTGAAAGCTGTTTGAAACCATTAATACCCCTTTGAGTGTCTTAGAACCTTCAAGCTCATATTTACTCATACGCCACTCATATTTAACACTGCAAATAACCAAGGAATCTTATACGTACTTTGGCGATTTTCATTTACTTTGGGTTGTATAATCACATTGTTCAGACTTGGTGGCAGTAGCCTTTTTGCAAGTAATTTTTTATTAATCGCATTGTTATGCGTTATCTTATGATGCTACTGAGTTTTTAAAATATTCTCAAACAATATTATACCCTCTGTCACAACTCGTACGAGAACATAAATTTACCATATAGTAGCCCCAACCGGACAAAAAAAATATGTTCAATACTTTCATAAGTTTAATTCTACGAAACAAACGGAGGATTCATTATTGCATTATAATAGCATGGTATTAAAATTAGTAATTAAAATAGTCTGATCCCAGTGTATGTAAACTAGTGGTGCTAAGCAGTCACAATATTTTCCTCGACCTTAGTAACCATTACGTAATATTATTACACCGCAATTTCTGTCCACATCAACACATCTTAGTCAATGGGTGGTGGCAAGAATGGACGCGAATTATCTTATCAATTTTTGCCCAAAACGCCATTCTTGTCATAAATGGAACTGTCTTTTTTTTTTAATTTTCATTATTGTGGCTTTTATGAAAGCTCTTGTAAGGCGTACGTTACACTATTGCTTCAATTTCAAAAACATAGGATTATCCCTGCAAACTTTGCGTTCTATATATACAGGTAATGGACAGCACCAGTCATTCTGAAAATAACTAAATTTATATAAAATGATATGTACATATTTCTATGAGGCATGCTCGATATGCCTGTCTTGCCCAATCTCCTCCTCTTTTTTAGATCAGCCGGACAAATGCAGGAAACGAAGAGGTAAGTGAGATGGACAGTGCCGGAGCTAGACAATTTTAATTAAAACGTGAAAGTTGTGTTAAGAAGCTAAACGAGTTATTTTATTTATTGCAACAAACAATAAAAATTCAAACGTTTAAGCTAGAAACGTTTTTGGAAATAATTTTAAATAACAGTTTTAAATGAAAATATTTAATGAACAAATAACACAATTTACACGATGAGCTTAAAACATTAAACAATTATGTTGTGTTTAGCTAGTATTTACAAATCACTTGTTAAATTTATGACATAATAAATATGAATTTTAGGAGAACTTATTTTTGTGTTGTGTCATTTGATTCATTTCAAAGAGCCCTTCCTTATAAGTAATGACTATATTTAAGTATTTAAGGTAAACATTTAATTGAAATTTCTAAGGAATATTAGACTACCATTCCACGAGATACAAAATTACGATGACGATATTCTCGAGTTCTAATTTCTTTTTTAATTTTTTAAAATAATTTTTCCCATCAGGCCCTTGACTTGCAGGGCCCCTTGCAATCGTCTGATCTGCTTATGCTTAACTGCCTAGGAACTGCAGATGGATAAACCTTCACCGCGCGCGTGTGTGATGTTCGAACCCCCTCTGAACACTTTTGCGAACATTTTATGTCGAAAGTAAAATGATGTAGTGAGAGGTCGTGTATTCCGTAGGGACATGTCATCAAATATCCCCCAGCGGACTCATCGAATAGTGCTGCTTAGAGTTTTAAATCTCGTGTGTGGATTGCTTTGACGAAGAAATGACTAATAGTTTTTATACGCATAAATGGTGTCAAAAGGGGCGTCAAAGACTTTATAAGGGCCTCTAATGATCAAGCAGAGGCAAAGCAACCGAGATATTATATGTATTGATATGAATGATTGGCCCTCGGGCATTTTGTTTTCGCTCAATCATTAGAACCAGCTAGTGATCGTGGTATATACATAATTTTATATTTTACCTAGTTTTATTAGTTCAGATTTAATTATTTACTTTTTAATTAAATGTTAACTAACACGCTTTCGCTTCATATTTCCGTCCCAAAATTCCATGTATTAATTCCCTCCATACGAGAACATGTAGCATTAGACTGTTTTCATATTTCCCTCGTAACTACAATCCTTATTATCCCGGTAAGTTTCAAAGTGTATACCGAGCAACTTATCAAAGGCAATAACAAGGAACAACGTACCAGTAAGAAATGAAATGTATATTTACGAGTTTCGAAAGGCGCTGAACAGGCTTGTAAAATTGTATGTGAATGCGAGTACGCAGCACGGCGAGTGCCGCGTGCCAGACCACTGTGCAGCGCGAGGCGCGGAGGGGCGAGGCGAGGCGTGGGCGTCGACGGGTCCAGCGTTCCGCGCGTGCCGCGAGGGCGGCGTCCGGCTTCCATTCTTCCCCTCCTCCCCTCCTCGCTCCGTCGCCGTCCCCGCGGCCCTCGCGGCGTGTAAAGCTGCCTGGTGTGAAATGAAATCCTTGCGCCCCGCCCTCCCGCGTGCCGTCTGGCGTCGTCGCTGCGGTCTCCCGCGGCCCCTCCGCCCCCGCTCCGGCCCGCGCCGATTGACCGCCGACGCCGCACAGTGGGCGGGCGCCGCGCGCGAGGGCCTCGGTGAAGCGGAGGCGCACCGCTATACGCCGATGAAAATAGATTGGTTGGTTGGTGATTCTGCTAAGGTCATGAGACCTGTGAGTACGGGTTTGGCGGCCGCGGTCGATGACCACTCTACACGGATGCGACACCATCTGAAACGAGAGGGCGTGCGGCATTCCTCCACGTCTCTCTCCCCATCTCTCTCTTCCTCAGTCCCTCTCACCCGCTCTCTCACAATCTATCCCCCTCTCTCGCTCTCCCACCCCTCTCCCTACCTCTGCGTCTCTCTCCATCTCACTCCCACAGCTCCATCTTTCTCTATATCTCCATTTCTCTCCCATATCTCCATCTCTATCTCCATTTCTCTCCATTTCTCTCCATCTCTCTCCATCTCTCTCCATCTCTCTCCATCTCTCTCCATCTCTCTCCATCTCTCTCCAACTCTCTCCAACTCTCTCCATCTCTCTCCATCTCTTTCCATCTCTCTCCAACTCTCTCCAACTCTCTCCAACTCTCTCCATCTCTCTCCATCTCTCTCCATCCCGCTCCATCCCGCTCCATCTCTTTCCATCACTTTCCATCACTTTCCATCACTTTTCATCACTTTTCATCACTTTTCATCACTTTTCATCACTTTCCATCACTTTCCATCACTTTCCATCACTTTCCATCACTCTCCATATCTCCCCCCCACTCTCTCTCTCTCTCTCTCCATCTCAGCTGGCGACCCGGCGAGAGAAAATGGTGAGGATGCATGGACGTTCCTCAGTTAAGAGCTTGTCTGTGTGTTTTGTGAAAGCCAAAGAGTTTTAAGAAAAAGGAACACAGTCATTGACGTTTTGAGTTTGATAAACATAGGCCTTTTTAAAATATATCAAAATTATTAATTAGAAAATTAAATTTAGTATTTTACACACTAAGACTGTTTAATTTCCCCCTTCATTCCTAGCCACTGAATAATGGTGGTGGTGGTGGTGGTGGTGAAGGTGTGTGTGTGTGTGTGTGTGTGTAATAATAACTGTGCCCTTAGAGACGAATTGATAGAGACCCCTATCACGTCCATGTTCTCAGCTGAGCACCTAGCCGAGCAAGCTAGAGTGCGCGCCGGCAGAGGACGGTTACTCACTGCAATGGCATGGCTGATTATGGCATTCTGGTTATGTTTTATCGTAGGAGGTGGCAATGATCTTCCCCAGCTGGATAGTGAGATCTCGCGCCGACCTACCTGGCGGCCAACGGGGTTCTCCAACCAGGTATCTCCCACACAGACGATGCATAATCAAACAAGTGTAGGCGTTAAATAGCGCTCTTCAATTTTCAGTTATTTCACGCGATTAGATTCCATTTTTTCTTAATAAGCATCGGCAACTATTCCATGACACCACAATTTAAAGCCTCTGATTGGCAAACGGAACCCTTTCTCCCTTGTCACACGCTAGATGCCAAGTAGACAGAAATGTTATTCATACAACGGTGTGTATGTAGGGTATGAAGGTCATCAGATGAACTTCTTTGGGATTGACCTTCAGTATTTGCATGCGTGGCGTTCTCCGCGGGGGTTTGAAGCAGAGATTTGTAATTGTTACGAGAAACCTCTGAAATGGGTGACGCGAACTCGTTAGTTTGTTGTAGATGTTTTTTTGACATACTTTATAAAATTATCTCTTATCTGAATCAGAAATTAATCGTCCTGTGAAATAGGCGATAATAGATCTCTTTGTTATCACACGTTAAACGATGTCACCGGTCGCAGGAACTTACTGAATCAAAATAATTTCCATCGTTCTACCATATATTGTGTAGTACAGTTGGAAAATCATTCGAATAAATTACATTAAAACACTATCTAATGTTTTTGTCGTACAAAGATCTCGAAAGGCCATTATGTCGGAGGAGCAAAAATATATACAGTTTTAAAAACGTCACTAGTGATGACCAATTAAGAAGCTTTTGTAGTTTTATAAAAAAATGATGTTTTTGCATTCAAAGCATACCTACTTTGAATGCATTCTTGAGATAGTCTATTTGCTGAAAAAGAAATGAACTAACAGCGTTATAATTATTAATAGCGAAAATAACGATTTCGCTATTAATAATAATAATAATAATAATAATAATAATAATAATAATAATAATAATAATGCTTTCAAAAACAAAAACCAATATGACCTATTTTCAATTTTCGTTCTCGTCTTACTGTGTAATTTCGTTGTAAGTAGTATGTAAGTAGTAAGTATTGTAAGATTGCGGCAGGAAGCTGTGATTTTTCAATAGAAAATTATGAGGCCGTGGTGGCAGTACTGGAAAAGGTAAATCTTGTTCCTGTAGGCACTAAATTACTTACATCAACCCGTTCAGTCATAATTCACGTTTTAGAGGTCTATTGACATCGGCAAAAATCGCTTGACGGCAAAACGTCTGTCTGTCTGTCCGTCTGTAGTGAACGATAGCGCCTAAACCGTTGAGCCGATCTTTTCAATGTTGATATTCCCCGATCAATCAGAATTAACTCAAGACTTTGCGAGTTTCAAGCGGATATTTTGATTTTTCAGAGTACTTTGCATGAAGCCTCAAAACATTTTCAAATTTTTTAAAAACTTTGCACAAAATATTCCGATCAAACTTCTTCTTTTAACGTAAAGGACGCTTAGGAGAAGGATGCAGGCGTCATGTTCGTTGAAATCCCATATTTTTTAGAATTGTTACAACAATGGTATTGAAAAAATACATTTCTTTCTTAATGAAATCTATTTCTTACAGACGTATCTCTAAATACGTTCACATTTAAGGTTTCGAAAATATGAATGTGTTTGGTGTAGTTTAGCGCGAAATATAGGCAATTTAAAAAATAACACATTTCCTCAAAAACAGCTCCAATTTTTTTGTCTTTACATTTTATTCACGGATAAAAGAAGGGATGTTTAATATAATGGCACGGGTCTCATTTTCGTTGAACTCTCCGAATTTTCGTAAAGTGTCAATTTAGAAATAATGTGAGAAACTACGTGCTGTTGTAGTACCAATAGAAGTTGTTTTTTTCAAGTAATTTTCCTCACGTTGGCAAGTGGCGGCGGTGCGGCGCCCGGTCGATATCGTGGGCCGTCGCCCGCCCGCCAGGCGCAGCCAGGCCAGGCGCAGGGGAGACACCTGTCGGAGGCACTGCCTGCAGGCCCCGCCCCCGCGTCTGTGTCAGCACAAACGCAGCGCAGCGCGGCGCGGGGGCGGGGCGGGGGCGGCGGAAGCGCGAGCTTAGCAAGTTTCGCCTTAACAAGCTCTTGGCGTTGTGCGACCCACGGCGCTTCCGCCTTTTCTCGCTCTCATTCCAACTCCTCGCCTGGCTCTCTTCATTCCCTCCTCCTCTCCCGTTCTCTTGTTCTAGAGCATCTTATGACTTGAATTACTCAGAGGTATTAGTATTGTGGTGAGTTATCGTTGGCATTTACAGTGAAATAATTATTAGAGTCGTCATTGCTAACAATATTCTTTACTGCAATAGCAGCTTTTGATGGCTTAGCCATCATCATCACTTTTCAGCTCTATGGAAGCCGCTGTATGTACACGTTTTGTGGCTTCCTTTCAGCAGAATACTGATGATGATGGCTAAGGTACCGAAAGCAGCATTTGTAATAAACAATATTGTTGGCAATGACGACTCATAATTATTTGATTGCTGAGAAGCTATGTTGTTTCTGAATCTGTTTTAAAATCAAATTCATTTCAACATATGAATGAAGAGTTGAGAGAATATTACCTCGGAAACAGCAACTCCGTGAGTCTTGTTTTCATATGATTCATAGTTTGATTTAAAAAGTGAGGATCAAAATAATAATTCATACAAAGTCTCATATTCTGAAATACATTGAAAAAGACCCTTAGAGAATGAAAAAAGGCTAAATTCACTTTGAATTCATGCCTTGAAATTTCGTCTAGTTTCACAAGTAGAAACAGCCATGCCCTGGTTCTTGAATTCCTAATAATCACAATTCATTAATCACTCGTAATTTCCAGACTTAACTGAAAACAGTTAACTCATATTTGGACGACATATTAATAAATGCAGCTAATATATAATATAATGTGAAATAATACTTCACTGTTAGTTTGTTTTACATTTTATTGCGATGACATAAATAATATTCTAAAAAGCATAGAGAAAACTAAATCAGTGTCTTTTCGAAATCCTTAATTTCGTCCATAAAATATACATGAATATACAAATTATCTAAAATATACTGTCAAGTTTTACTTTATTTTTATTACTTCGTTATTTTCGAGTTAATTCGGCATTTGAAATTCTCTTATGTTGCAATTTCATTCTCAATCTGTACGAAAACTGCCGCCTTCAATTACCTTGGTGGGAAACCACCATCATCAATATTGCATCTGCGTAGACAGCTACTTACGGTTTATGAAAATAAGGTGTAAATCGCGAAGATCATAAATCTTCATTCAGTTAAAATATATTTCATGTTTCTCTCCATTTTGTTGAAAACAAATGAGATCAAATCGCAACAAAACATATTTGTCGGCTCAAAATATCCCGTTGGAAAAGCACCACTAATATTAAAGGAGAGAATTCATGAATAGCAAAACATTTCCTTTCCTATCGTACAAAATTTAAGTATTGAAAACATATTGGGGAAACGCAACAATTGAGAGATCAAATCATTTTAACTCATTACTCTCCATAATTAAATCTATGGTGATTTTAGTGGTACTTTTGTTGAGGTTTTATTAATATTTGTGAGGGAAACTTTCAATTTTTTTTTCTAAACATCAAATGTTAGTCGACCCGTTTGGGGTACTACAGTTGGAAATTAATCCATTTTACTTCCCCATATTCATACATATATTCGCTGTAATATACGTAGCATAGGGAAAGTTATGTAATGCTAAAATAATTATATGCGTCGTCATTGCCAACAATATTGTTGGCATTGTCGACGCATATATTTATTTCATTAGAAATGCCAACGATAACTCACCACAACACCTATATGTAATGCTGCCCGAAAAAACGGCGGATTTTGGGCACATAAAATTAATTGTCGAGCTTTTATAACAAAAAAGTGGATAAATCCAGTTTCTACATTAAGAAAAAGTCCTCTAACACGTGGTGTAGCCAGAATTCCTTTCTTGTTGGTCCTTGATACCGAGAAATCAAATGACATCAAGACGTCCGTCTGTGAACCTACTAGCGCCTAAATCTAAGGATGTTTTTCCTAATTGAAGAAACACCTGTTCATCTGGCACCAGTTGAAGCTTTAAGATTTTGGGAAACATTCTTTGAAATTAGGGGGTACTTTAGATGAAGCCCTCCGGACATGTTCAAAATTTCCGGTAAACGGCTTCAAGTTTTGATTTAAATTTCTTGTAAGAATAGAGTAACACACACTTAAAAACGTGGTATAAGTTCAATTAGCACGATTAACTCTGAATGTTTGGAAATTTCAAAAGTATGCTCTTTTTCTGTGATCTTACTACACTACAAAATAGAAGATAGAGGCATTTCCTTCATTTCATGAACATTGTTTCGAATCCAGTGGACAGGAATACAAGAAACGAGAAAATTGCCTTCTATCCGCCCGCAGCAAGTATTCTGCTTCTTTGAGGTAGTGATGTCAGAAACCGGTTTGTCCGCTTACAGCTCAGAGAAAAATGACCAAGAAGCAAGTAGAAGTTTCGGAGTAAGAAACAAATTTATTTGTATGCGGCTCTGTCGTCACCTTCCGAGAGTACTTTGCTACGGAGTTGAAAAAAATGTGAATAACACGGAGAAGCCTACAGGATTAGTTAGTTAGTCAAAGAGTTAGGGATCAGAGTTCGGATCAGGAGTGACGGAAACGGATCTAATGAATCGAGTTTGGGACAGAATTCGCGGTAGTGAAATCCGTGTCAGTTCGGGTGGAGAGAGGTGACGAGTTCGGCTGTCTCCGGACAATCTCGGAGTCGCTCAAGATGTTGAGTCCTGCAGTGTTAGCGGCAAAGTCTGCCTCCATCAGTACCGTGAGGATACTTCTGCCCTTCAACATGTTTCTACTTCTGCTGCTCCCAACTCTCTGCTTTGGGCATCCGAGGGTAGCGACACCACTCCCAGGTAAGATGCCACATTTTTAACGAGGCATTTCTAGGAGTCGTAACTGATTTGTTGATTTTCAAAACCATTCAAACGTTGATTGGGAATCAGATGCAAAAAGAGTAAACACAAGTAATATACCACTTCAGACGTTAAATATTGAAAAAAATAATGAAGAAAATCAAAGTAATACCACAATCTTCACTTGTTTTAAAGTAGTTTATTTAAAGACATTTAATGAATTATTTTGTTAATTTTTTATTTTCAATTTATTAGATAAAATATAAACAACAACGTAAGTGTAAATAATATTTTATCTCTGGGATGTTTAAATTTGCAATAAAGCAGATATGTTTGGAATTCAAAAAAACATCATTTGGTATCTTTCATAAACGGTGCTTGTGTGTGGTATTTTATGTCAAATATATCGCACTTTCTATGCTTAGTATCTCAATCAAACAAACACTACTTATATCCCATTTTATTTTAAAATAATTATACCTTGTTTATAATGCATAAAATATTTCCATAATAATATCATGTCACAGAATACATAGATATGAGCTCCTGTATAATCCATAATTCTCATTTCTTTGAAAACCTTTTATTGTCAAGGTTAATTGATAACATAGGTTAAATATATTAGTTACCACCAAGAATGTTGACAGAAACGGCAATAACTTTAAAACAAAGTGCATGTATGCAGGAACGGCGAAACGTATAAATTTCAGGTGGGTATTACCATGGTTTAGGGGTCATGTAATTTTTTATTGTATTTAAGTTTCTTAAAAAACAACAAGATAAATAAACAATATATTTTATACCATTAACATTTTAAATAATAATTTATATATAAATTCATAATGCATTTCTATATATGTTTTACTTGCCCGGAACAGAGGGGATCACTTCTATATCCTATGCCGCACTTTTCAATATGCCGATATTCGTTTCTTCTTCGATTTCTCTTAGTAATTGCCATTCTCATTAAATACTAAACAAAATTTAAATGAATAAGGCATAATTTTGAAATGTAATTGGGTTTTGATAATTTAATTGTTACGGAAATCTTAATATTACTGGTAGGATATAAATTGGTGTGCATAAGGAATGCGATTCATGGAAATTATTTATCATTATTTGTATTACATTATATCATAATTTATATTATATTATCATTATCATTATTTCCAACACACCACTTTGGGAAGAGGTAACACAAGTCATTGTATGGAGAAACTGGTTGTTTCAGTGACATTTGATGAGAGGATTTTACATGTCTCGTTGAATGACAACTTTGTTCGTGAAAGGTAATCCGCATTACTCAGAATATCGATTATCTGTAAATAATGTCGTTACTCAGATGGAATGGAATAAAATTATTTAGGCATAAATAACAAATATTGCTTCTGTAAACACGCCAGAGCAGGTAAGTATCCTTTACAAACCTACTGTCTAAACGTCTGATAAAAATATCAACATCTATTTTATTAATTAAATAATACGATATTTTAAAGAGAAAATATATTGCTTTGCTAAATCACAATTGTTCTCAATTACATAATAGGAATCAATAATTGAATGAAATTTAGAAATTCTCAAACCTCTTGTTGTCAATGTAATTTTTAACCAATATTGTTTGCCATTTGAAATAACCAGTATCATAATGTAAGTTCCAAAGGTTACCTTTCTACTGAACAGAGATAAGAACAAAAAGTTTGGGTTTGATTAATGGGATCTTAAATCTTTTATAAGGTATTGTGTGTTTTCAATTACCGAAAGAATATTTTCTATTTCAAGTGATTTTGTGTAAAAAGCAAAGGCTACTTCATTGCATTTGCAGCTAATTTCTTATAATGAGAAGTCACACATTTCATTTTCCAAGGGCACAAATCATGCCTTTTTTACATGCCTGTTTTAGTAAAAATAAGTGATTTTCTTTCCTATTTTATATAAAATAAGTGTCTGAACTTCCTAGCTTTTTAATAATGTGTAACTAACATTGCGGTATTCATGCTTAGACGCAGTAACTAGTAGCCTACAACAGCAAAAATTCTGGTAAACCAAATCACACAATATGGTCTTCCATAAAGTTGTACGCAGAATGTTCAAGGATAAGAAATAAAGTACTCTCATATAACTCCAATAAATTAAATTCTTAATAAAAACAGACTTTACAAATACTGAAATAAAAATGATCGTAAGTGTACTATATCCACAGTATTTTTAAATACGAAGATTATAAAATAGTTTCTGTTCCAGAACGCAACACATACTTGAATATAGCAAATATTTAAGACCAAGAATCCCCATCCTAGGAGCCTTGTTATCGCATGAAAGCAGTGTCGAAATCAGTATTTATTTATGTGTGGTGTTATTTCCGGGGTTGGTTTCGTACCCGTATTTTCGACCTGGTATTTTCTTTGAAGTCCATCCCAGGCGCGGGCTTATACTCAGATTTAAGCATTGTAGCATTTCGATGTCGACGGAGGGGGGTATTGCCATCCCACGGGTGCTTCTTACGACTTAAAGTTTAGGTATTGAAACTCGCGATTGAATGGCAATGTCTCCCTCTCTTTTCACCTAGTGACCTTGAAGTGTCACTATGTTAAAATCGGAGTATAGTAGACGTTCCTAGAGCGCGCCAGTGGGCCTCCTGCGACGCACCTGGTATGATTCTCACTTTTTCCGTCAGATGTTGGCCTCAGCTAACTCTATCTGAACCGGTCGGTCGCTAGAACGCGAGATCTCCTTAGGACGGGACATTGCCGGAGAAATTTACCATGTACCTCCGACAGTTCTTTTATAGGCTACAAGCATGATATGGTCACAGTGGAATTTTCACCCTTCGAAAAACAACTGACCTAGATGGCTGAGGTGGCTAACAGCGTGTTCCGACTCAGTGCTTAGATCTGAAGGTTCGTGGGTTGGGAATGGTTATTTGTTCCTTGTCTCTCATGTACGTGTGTCGTGAAGGCCCTCGCGATCTGCTGACCATAGATCAGAGGAGCCCGCAAGTGTGTTGGGTCTAGAGTACGGTCGAATATGCGTCCCATCGGGACATAAAGGGTAACCGGATGTTGGGTGGTTCTTTAAAACATTATTTACTAGGCTGTCCGGGTGACGCCGCGTCCATGGCGAAGGTGCCGACGTTTCGGTCGCCATTCTGCGACCTTCCTCAGAATGGCGACCGAAACGTCGGCACCTTCTCCATGGACGCGGCGTCACCCGGACAGTCTAGTAAATACTGACTCCGGCCGCGGAAGCCTACCATCTCTCTTTAAAACAATTGGTTTTTCTTTAGGACCTGTTTGTTATTGCAGATACGGCACCTTCTACTCCACGCACCGTGAATTGCAGTCTTCTTGAAACTCTCTGCCTTTCCCAAGGAAAACTTCTCCACGATGGCGACTGTTACACACCGTTGGAAACAGGCCCCTGTTCGGAACACGAGTGGTTCGTAATGAACAGTGACGCATCCGCAGAAGGTTATTGCTCTTCTCGACCTTGCGCAGCAGAAGAAGTGACCTTTCAGACTCACTGCTTGACTCAGGTTAGTTATTTGCGTACTCATATTATGTTATTTACGATTACTACCCTATTTATTTAATTTATGTATGTTAATAAAAACCAACACCTGCAGCACCGAGCGTTAAGACAATGCCTTGTGGATTGAGCGTACCAGACCAGGTTAGGTGGCAATGTCACTACATTGCCCCTGACCGGTATGTTTTAGGGTTCGAGTTTCGACTGTGAAATTATTTTTGATACTAAATAGGTCGGGGCAGAACCAGGCGGATGCCGGAACAGAACCCTAACAAACGTACCATGGACTGCGCACGACCTTTCCTTCGTCTTCCTTGACCTATCGTCATTACGCACGCTAACCCCATACATGTACTACATTTGCATACGTCGGAAGATCAGTCGGGATATTAAGTCGTGTTCTAATTGAGACTGTACCGTGCTGGTGGGAGATTACTGGTTGTGGAAAACACTGCAAGTCGACTGTTAGGTCGGCGCTGGATCTCGACATCCAGATCGCTGCCATTTTCCACGATAAAGGGAAGAACTGGGTTCGATTCCTGCTAGGTGCCTGATGGTGCCAGGGAGATTTGCCTGCTGTAGTTAACATTGGAACCTGCCGGGAGTGAAGTCGTAGGCAGAGTCAGTTTAGAGGGTTTCGCTGGTTTCTGAGATCACTTTACGATTAATGCCGTTTTAACGACCTAAAAAACAGACTACGGAATAAGAGAGATATTTTCTTTCCTGTATTGTTCTTATTTCTTATGGACAAGCGATGGGATGATTTCCTATTCTCGTATGGCCACTTTCACTGGCCTATAAAACCTCCGACATACGTAGGAGGCGGTCATGGCCTGAAGCAAGCTGTAGAACCAAAAAAGAATAAGTCAGTAAACAATCAACAAATCGGCTTTTAATTGTTAATGTCTATATGCCAATGTCAATGAAAGAAAGAAATATGGGTGGATCACTCTGGGCGCAACATTCTATAATCTGCAAGTCGGAGCCTTATCATAATTTGCCTGTGCATTCTATGCGAGCCTTGCATTCTATCGTGTGAGGTTCTCGAGTAGTTATAAAGTCAATAATTTAAAGAAATTCATGGAAATGTTTCAGAAAAACGTACCTCACAGATATAGGGACAAAGAAAAGCAAGTATGCTAAGAGTCGCGGTCAATGCTAGGCTGTTAAAAATACGTTTGTCACCTTGCAAAGGGCGACATATCAACATCCACTCGAGTCATTCTGGTATTCATTATTTCGAGCTGAACGGTATAGGCAGAACATACGACCAAAAGCAATGCAGCAGAAGTCGTCTAAGATCATCACACTTTAGGAAAAGAAGGAAATAAAAGCATTCTAAAATTTTTGCGAGTTCTTCTGTTAGACGAATTATTTTAATCCATTCAATTACTCCTATTAAGAATAACAAACTGAAATGTTGAAAGCAATTCAATTTGCATTTCATTTGTCTCTTGTTCTCCTAGTATGTGTTGGTTTTGCAATGATTCTGACATTTCGTTTAGGCTTATCTCTTACAATCTGAAACAGAGGTCACTTGTACGACTTAAGTGCATGTGTGTTTGCTGGCCTTGGAGCTGGGAGGTGGTAGCCGATTTTTGGCTAGTGTAGTGTCGAGCTTCGATCTCTTAAACACAGGATTCACTCACTACTTTTCTTAGCCTTCTGTCATCTGCACTTGTGCACTTTTTCTGAAATTTCCTGAAGGAAAAACCACCTTCTTATTTTTAAGAAGGATGTAAGGAGATAATCCCTAAATAAGCAGAATGACACCAACAGTTTGTACTTGCAGTAAATAATTTAATTTCACTTTTCTTAAATGCATGGTTTAAAGATATTGTTTTTAAAACTTGAGCGACAGCTTAAGGAAAACTAGTGAGATAAATCATGAAATAATGAAGACTGAGAAAAGAAAATTTTCTTATCGTATTAAATGGAATTTCGGAGAAGGTGTAACCGCATGTTAAGAATGCAGAAGCTTGAAAGATTTTATTCAAAGAACTTATCCTGAACTTTCCACCTTATTTCCATCTTCCTTTCTCAGAAAACCCAACGTTCCTCTAATGTGTTCCTAGTCTTCCTCGTTCATCTCACAGAACCTCTTTATTTTTCCCTCTCTATTTAGCCAATATTTACTCGCTCTATTTTCTTTTCCTAGCCTATATGAGGGTGACAGCGCAATAGTGGCCTATCCCACATTTTTAGGAAATTGCGTTCTCTGTGTTAAACACATCTTAATCTCCCTAACTTCAACGTGTAACAGTTTCAGCATGTTCGCGTCGATAGTTTTCAAGTTATAATTACAAAAAGAACTACTGCACTCAGCTTACGATTACATTTCTTTGTGCAATAGTGGCCTAAGCTGCGGCGATGCTGTTTTACACAAGATGTAATCCACAAGAAATGTTTAGTCAGTGGTCATTCTTACATAATATCATAATATGAAAACACTTACAAATGAGTGTTTAATTTTGCCAATAACTTCATCAGCCATTTTCTCCAAACACAGGATCTGGGAATAGGCCACTATTGCGCTGACACCCTCATATCTTACTACTCTTATACTGTCACTTCTCATGCGTTCCCCTTTTAAATAATTAGGAATATCATCCAAATGTATAATTTTGTGCTCCTCTCTTTGTTAGGGTCATGTGGAGACCACGATACAGTTTTAGAACATCCTTTACTTTAAGTACTTTAAGTTACTCTTTCTTCTTTCTCCAGAACTCCTTCATCTTCACACTAGGTTTCATTTTCCTCTCTTCGGACCATTTTGCACTAGTTGTCCTCTCCTTTCTTTCTTGGTACCCTTCCATTTGCAATTTATTTTTAAAAATATCCCTCTCCATTGTTTATTCTTCTCTTATATTGTTCCTTTCCATATCTTTGAAACCAAGTTATGGTAGATTTCTTATTCCGAAGATATATGAACATTTGTTTTGTTAGCCTGTTATCATCCATCCTGAATATGTGTTCATCTTTTCAAGTTTTTTGTTGTTTACTTGGCTAACCGGGAGACGCCAACTCCAGGGTACAGATGCCAACGTTTCGGTTGCCATTCTGTGACCTTCATCAGGGAGTAGGTATTGCCCTGATGAAGGTCGCAGAATGGCGGCCGAATCGTTGGCACCTGTGCCCTGGATGTCTCCCAGATAGCCAAGTAAATACTGACTCCGGTCACGGAAGCCTTCGCTCTCATTTTTTTGTTGTTGTCATTTTTGTTTTTGTGTTTTCTTTCTTCTATCTAATTTGAACCTAAAATGTCTTGCCTACGCTTAATATTCAGAACGCTTCCCACGTATTTCGCTCCGTTGCCGGCAGGCTGACGCGCGAGCGCGCCTGTGCCAGGGAGACGCCGTGCACCTGGGGCCAGCCGGGCGGCCCCGCTGCGGGCCGCACCCGGGATGGCCGGCGCTGCTTGCAGCACATGTACAGTGCTCCTTGTCGCTGCAACGGAAGCCCTTGTCGTCGCCATCGCTGTCCCTGTCCCTGTCGACTCCTTCGGAGCCGAACGGTCGGGTTGTTCACAGTTCAGGGCATAACTGTGGAGCTAACGACGAAAACGAATGCGTGTTAGAGGTTAGAGGCTCCTCTGCCGCACCAGAATTAGAAGCTGAAACTTAACTGGAAAGGTTGGTACGAGTCAAAAATATAATTTTAGTGAAAACTGATGAGTTTTATATTATGTTGTTTTTATGTTCTATAGGAAATTGCAATATTAAATATTGTTGTCATTCTCAGATGCTACTTAGAACATTTCAGGCTGTATAAAAAAAGAAATATTATTGAAAAAATATTGATGCGTTATTATTGAAAACACAAAAAACAGGAAATTAATATTTTTGAAACTACAAAACTAAAGCCGAACGAGACACTGAATAGCTACAATAAAGTACTTACAATTTCGGCTACACATTATTATTTTGTAATCGGAAATTGTACAACACTTGTATAATACTGTAGTATGTCAGCTAGCAAACAGTTGTATATTCAAAAAATTAATTTGGAAATCTTGTTATGAAGTTGATAATGAAATAAACATTTTCTTGAAAATAGTTGAAGAATATTTCAGCCATCTTTACATTTATACTCAAATTATGCTCAATGACGTCAAAATAAGATGACCTATCTGGGTGCCGAGATTGCTAAGGCAGTAGTGCCATAGCGATCTCGGACCGAAGGATCGCGGGTTTGAGCCCCGCCTCGGGTATGGTTGTATTGTGATCGTCCTCTCACCCCCTATCATCATCATATCGTGTCATCCTCAGTTACCACACCGTTACAAGCAATAGTGGTCGCCAATGACCTAGAAGTTGATGCGACCTTAAATAACAAAAAAACAAAAGATGCTAAATCATTTAAAATGTAATAATTAAATATGTTTGGTAAATAAAGATTTTTTGTTTTTCATTGTTTTAAGTTCCCATTAATATCGTTATTTATTTGTGGAAAAAATATTTAAAAAATTCGAACCTATTTTGAGAAAATGGAGAAAGTGTCGTTGGGGCTCCATGAAAAGTATCTCCCAAACTCAAATTATCGGTTTCAAATTCAAGGGACCATGACATCAGCCACATCGATTGAGAAATATCAATTTTGATCCAAATTCTATCTATGGTTTAACCGCTAGCTGACAGACGTACAGTCCTGTTCCCGCAAATATTTTTTTTCTGTAGTGATAATCCGCCAAACGTACATTCAGAAAACACAACTTATTAGAGAAATTTATTTACTACATTTGGCAGCAAGGATTATTTGGTTTCGGTATCAGAGTTTCACAATACGAGTTTTTCTGCCGGGAAATCACCGTTCTTTACGCATCATTACATAACTTTTTCTATACAACGTAGGCGATGAAGTAAAAAGTAGAAATGAATAAACAATATTTTGTTTATTGTTCTCGACTATTATGCAATGATCAAAAATGATTAATACGACCGACAGAAAGCGTAAAGAAAAAGAAGAAGAAAAAGAAGAAGAAGAAGAAGAAGAAGAAGAAGAAGAAGAAGAAGAAGAAGAAGAAGAAGAAGAGAAAGAAAAAGAAACTATTCAGAGTTTTAAATTTTATGTGTCAAAGAGAACTGTTTTCCCTACGTTTATTTTGGAAAACTTAAGTAAAATACACATTTTTAAAAATATGGAAATACGATTCATTTTTAGTCTCTTTATTCCCTCTGCTACTTTTACAAAGAACCTTTGATGCTATCAAACTCTTCACATTACATGAAACCTACTCATAATTAGAGTCGACTCCGGCTATAACAAACTTATGTGAGATGTTCACTATATCCGATGATGTCAAAATTTAAAATTGAATTTCTCTAAAGAGATTCATTTTCTTAACAAAGAGACGCAGCAACATGCATTAACACCACTAACTGAAATTTTTTATATCTGTACTTAAACTAAAGGAATTAACTATTTTGAATTGTTTGCTTCGCACATTTTTTTCATTAGTAATCTCTCTAGATTCTTCTCCACAGTGCATTCTCTCCATGGCTCATTCTGTTTTGTCCGCGTTCGTTAGATGCATTCGTGAAAGGGGACGGTCCATAGACAAAGGAGAATATCGCTACTCTATGGACGAGCTGCGCCAGATGTCTGCCATCGCGCCGAGCGGTCAGAGGCTCGGCCGCATTCCTGAGCGGGGTGGCGATGGTCGTAAAGGGCGGCGGTTTTGAATAACATTTCCTTGGAAGTGAGTTGTGGGAGGGAGGGAGGGAAGGAACACGAAAGGGGGTGGAGAGTAGGGATGCGATATCGATGGGGATGTTTTAAAGTATCGTTGTCTGTTTAGTAAATTCGATGTATTAAACATCGATTAATTACATCCGATGTTTTTTTAACATCAATGTTTTGGACCCAATGTTTTGTAAATGAAAATTTGCCATCATCACAATTTTGTAAAAGTTGAAATACGAAATAATACTTGATTATGAATATTGAGTGTACGTGTTCGAATGAAACAAACGCTGTTTGTACTATCTTCTTCGAACAGACAACTATTTCTTCAACGAAATGATTCCAACGTCCTGACATATCCTACGACTTTCCTCTTATATCACACATGGATCGTTATTTTGACGTAAAACGTAATAATAAATTAATAAACAGGGTCATTATGAAATTAAATTTTGTTGCCCACGAATTTGATGCTAGAGGTTACTAAACCAGTTTTAAACATCGATATTTAAAAACATCTATGATTGTTAGCATCGATGTTTCATAACAGATGTCACATCGCTAGTCTTGTCAAAAGTGTGAACCTAGATGGTTGTAAGTACTCTCTTCACCTCCTGTTAAGGACGTACAATGTATTTATTTAGTAAATAAATTGGTAATTTAATATGAGTGTGCATGTGCTTCATTGCCAAGACGGTGAAACCATAACTACTCTATACAGTGTAGAAAAGAAAACAAGTGTTTGAATCTGGAACATATTTTGGAACCCTTCGTTAGGTGCGCCATCTTTCGAAACGGAGTTAGTCGCGCTGGTTCCTCTAGTCTTAGGCTATTTTTCTAGGACATTCTATAGATCTATTGGAGAAAATGTATTACTTATGTGGTCTTTGCAAGTGTTAGAAGGTTATTGGATGAAAAATGAATGTCAGAACATGCTGTATATTTAACGGATGACTTAATTTTACATAACGATGTAAAACAAGAACACAGAATATTCCGTAAAATTAGTACTAAAAACAAATGATAATTCTTTCCTGGCTTTTCCTTTTTCACGAGCAGTGTTGCTTACATTAAAGCAATTCGTACATTTTTTGCATGTTTGTTTACATATAAGAAAATAAGCTAAGGCGCGAGAAGAGTACACAACGCAACATATGCAAGTCCTTCTGCGAACTACATGTGTTGCCATTCGGGGCAAGGGGTCTGGCAATTCCCCGAGCACCACGCCGGAGGAAAGAGGAGCTACATAACCTATCGCCCTCCGGCTTATCTGCTGGGAACCTTGCTATCGAATACAAAATAATTCAGCATAGCAATAATTCAGCACCATTTCTCGTATACTTCCACCTACCACATATCGCGATATTTCGTTCTAAAAAATGGAAAAGTAGATTTTTTCCGCCTTATAGAGTCAGCAATCGAATGAAAAATCTGCGCATGATGCAAAAAGCGATGTGAAAATCAACCTGCGCGTGCGCAGAAGATCGATAGTTCTGTTGGCTCCTGCAACGCTTCGCCGTGCACTTTCTGATAGCTTAGTGATTCCGGGAGCGTCAACTGCTAAGGTAAGTAGTCCTGTAAGTGTAATGCATATGTTTTATCGTGGGAGGTGGGGATGATCTTCCACTGCGATGAACTCCCACTTCGAGTTCAGTCGTTGGCTGGAGGAGAATTCTAGCGGCCAGCTGCTCTGATCTGTAGTTTTCCGAAGTTTCTCCGATGAACACCAGGCCAATGCTCTAACAAAAGGATCATGGACCGCGCGCGATCTTTCCTTCCTGTTCCTCTTACATTTCTCATCCCTTAGTTACATTTACTACACTAGCACACGTGCCGGGAACTTGGAGCTTGTCTCGGTCAGAGCGGTGCTCCGCTGGTGGGAGATACCTGGTTGGTAAAGACCGCTCACTGACTGGTAGGTCGGCGTCGGATCACATTAACCAGCGGGGGAAGATCACCGTCATCTTCCACGACAATACACACGCACTGCACTTACGAGACGAAAGGCCTTAGCAGTTTTACCCGGAATCATATAATCAATTAATCCAGCCCTTATACATAGAAAAAATTCTTCATACTTATGCATCTCATTACCCGTCGTAGACACGGAGTAGCGCTTCGCAGCATGAATCATCGGCATCCAGGAAATGTTCGCGCGCCTGGGAAGTCACGTGACCGGTTTTTCCGGCCGGCGCGTAGGGGCGGGGCGGGCCGGGGGCGGCGGGGAACGCCGGGGGCGGGAACGCGGGGCTGGGCGGGACGCGGGCGGGCGGGCGGGGTGCGTCGTTGGCGGTTGGCGCGGGCGCTATATGCCGCTCTGATTCTGGGAAGCCGCCGTGACCTTCCGTTGAAGATTCCACGCGGCGCCGTAGTGTCCTCGTGTGAGCTGAGCGAATGTGTGCGATGGCGTTGGTGAGCGCCATGTTCTGGCTTCTGCTGGCGCCGCTGGCGATGGCGCATCCTATGGCGCCAAGTGAGTCATTGCAACTGTTGGCGTGTTGATGCAACGTTGCATTAATTTCGTAGGTGGCAGGTTGTTGAACTGTGCGCAGGTCCGCAAGGCCACACTTTACTCAAGAAATGTATCCTCGGGTACACGTCCTCAGCGATTTTATTTAAAAAAATTGATTAATAATAATAATAACAATAATAATAATTATTATAATACAAGGTTTGTTTGGAAATTAATTCTTCAGTTTTTTTTTTCTGTTTCGTCTAAATTTAATTATACTTTTTTTTCTAGTTCTAGGTTACATATTGTTTAAATTTTTTATTAACTCTATATTTCCTATTATTCCTTTATTCTACATTTACGAGTATTAGTTTTTCCATCATTGAATTTTTTTCTGGCAAAAATCTTAATTTTAGAATAATCTGAAAGAAAGCGATGGGAGGTGGACAAATGTTAGATCAGGTATACTTCAAAGGAAAATGAAGACAAT